ACAGAGTCCGCCGAGCATTTCTGAGTGCGGAAGGATCGCACATTGGGTAACTGTTGGGTGGGGATGATCGTATTTCTTAACTGCTAGTTAACTACTAGTAGGGTAGCAAGAAGTGTCCAAATTCAGGATCGCAGAGAAAGTGCTCACACGCCCTCGATTTTTACATGGGCTTGATTTGCAAAGGTTGATGCGCAAACTGCTAGGAACAACGAGACCCCCCAATCCGCGAAGTGCAGGAGGACGAGCGGCAGCTTCGAAAGGAGAGTCGGCAGGCCCTCCAAAATTCTGGGCTGCGATCAAGGAGTAAACCTTTAAGCCCCAGGCTCACATAGTTTCAATAGGCCGGTGGCCTCGGGGTACCTGGGTCTCGGCCCCCTGGCTTTCAGGTTTTTTGAGGTTCTTGGTTGCAGACTTTGCTGCTGAGTCGGCTGAAGCAATGGAAGCAAAAGAAGGTTATCCTTAAACCCTAAACCCTAAACCCTAAACCCTAAACCCTAAACCCTAAACCCTAAACCCTAAACCCTTTCTCAGAATTACAGCCTAAACCCTAAGCCCTCAACCCTAAACCCTAAACCCTAAACCCTAAACCCTAAACCCTAAACCCGAAGCCCTCAACACGAAACCCGCCCGATGGTCGAGCGCTCAGTGAGACCCTGCGACTAAGAGCCCACAATTCGGCCCACCCTCCAGGCTTGCAACTTTGTTAGGCACTTCACCCCATATTATGATACTCTGTCTCTGTGTGTGTGTGTGTGTGTGTATACGTATGTTTCGCATAGAAGCAGTACGGCAAAGACATAACGAGAGTACCAACCCTAGACCCCGCATGGCCCGGTGCACCGTGCTCTAAACCCTATGAAAGAAACATGAGTATTTTCCCCCCAAAATAGGGGGGTACCCCTATTATACCCCGAATAGAGGGATCCCCCCAACAAGGGCACCCCGATGGTCGGACGCCCTCCTCCTACATCTGGAAGCTGAAGTTCTTCACCCTCACGGCTCAAGCGCCCAAAAGGCAGTAACACAGGGGTCGGAAGAAGTACTAGGAGCATTCCCTTATGCCCCCCTCCTCCCCCCCCCAAAACCCTATTCGAATTATTTAGGCAAAGCTGGTGCCTGCAACCCCAAGCCCCAATCCCCACACGATAGATTTCAGAGCCCTGCCCTACTTGGAGGTCCAGGGGTAGGTATAAGTAGGGTCATAAGTTTGGTAGCTATGCATATAACCCATCTGAGGTACTTATATCCCAAGCTGGAATTCCCCACGAACCTCCGAGTAGCCCTGCACCCCTTGGCTGCAGGCCTGGCGCTCCTGCGTGGAAGAACTGCAAGGTTGTCTGGACGTCCGCTCAGGTCCCGGGGGTCTTCAGGGCATGGGTTTAGAGTTCAAGGGGCCTTAAGGGTTTAGGGTTGCAAGGGTTTAAAAGTTTCAGGGCTGGGGGCTTTAGGGTTTCATTGCTCAACAGGGTTTGCGAGAGCTGCGGGGGTGATAGTACAAAGACTCTGAGCCTGAAGACCGAAAGCACCACACGACACAAGATCCCTAAGCCTTACACCCCTACTTGGAGCTTCATGGCACTTCTACATAGGCGCACAAGCATGGTAACTATGGTCACAACCTTGATTAGAGTACTTATCACCCTGTTTCTAAGTGCCTATGAACCTCCACGTAGATCACCCTAGGTCAATCCATGTGGGGGGGAGCGGGGTTGAGATTCCGAGCCTGTATTTGCGCACGTTCCTCCTTGCTTGGGTCACCCGAAAAAGCTGACAAATCCTTCGCTCTGAACCTGAGATTCCGACACTTGAGCCCAAAGCCTTAAAACTCAGAACGTCAACCCTAAACCCCCAAACCCTAAACCCCAAACCCCCAAATCCCCAAACCCTAAACCCTAAACCCTGAAGCCTAAAGCCTAAACCCTAAACCCTAAACCCCAAACCCTAAACCCTGAACCTCCTAAGCCCTCGGGTTGCACCAGACACACCGAGAAGGTGCCGCGCGGCTCTGGCAGCAGCGCCTGGAGAGCGCGCGGCGAGTGGCGAGGCGGGGTGCCTAAAATAGATGTATGCTTTGTGGCACTTTACTGTAACTTTAGATCCTTTCCCTTTTTGGGCTTATTGGGTTTCTTAACAAGGCAGCGACAAACTCACTTTATAGCTACCCTCCTGAGTGCAGCCAAGTATGTACCCATGTACTGTAATGCATTTTACGTCATTGAGAATGTAAACGATAGGTGTGCATATATACATACATATATACATATATGTTAGATATTATATGGTGTATATGTGTATAAGATGTCTCTCTCTCTCTATATATAGCATGTGTGTATATATATATATATATGTATATGTACAAGTATTATATTAAGTAAAGTTTTACGGTTTGGGTTTAAAGGAAGGCTTACGGTTAGGGTTGAGTCTTGCCGGACTTCTTCATTTTTTAGGAAGAAGCGACTCAGGATTCTGGTTCTAAGGGGAGGAAAGTTGTGCGGCATTGTTTTTTTGGGGTTTGGCGCTTGCCGCTGTTTTGGGGTGGGTTTGCGTGGTCGTATATCCACTTCCGGTATCTTTCTTTACTACCGTTCTTCTACAATTTTTCTTGCTGATGCTGCCACTACCATAGGCATCATCGTTCTTATTGCCATTATGCTCTCCCCGCCCTAGGAAGGCCCTTATGCCTTCTCAAGCTTGCAGGGCCCTTACACCCCACACTCGGAGCCGCAGATCGCGACACCAGGTTGGGCGATCTCCCGGAAGAGGAGGAGGAGGGTCTTCAGGCCCCCCTCTTGTTTTAGGATCTAAGGGACCAGGCCTTGGCATAAGAAGAGGAGGGAAGTAGGGGGCACGTAGGGATGGGTTGACAGCTAGCGCTGACGGGGCTTCATTCAGCTGCTTGTGCGCGCATTCAAGGGCTATAGGGCAAGTGAAGGGTGTAGACTCTGACAAACCCTCCTAAGCGATCTCTATGGCAAGGACAGCAGCCCAACCCCACGTCGCATGCTGCCAAAGCTCTTGAACCAATAGCGCCCACACAACACATGTATCTGAAAAAGACCTCAGCCCCTGACCCAACCCTAAACCCTAACCCTCTAACCCTAACCTAACCCTAACCCTAAAAAACCCTCCCTAAACCCTCAACCCTAACCCTCCCTAACCCTTCAACCCTAAACCCCCAACCCTACCCTAACCCTCAAACCCTCAACCCTAACCCTACCCTAACCCTAACCCTCAACCTCAACCTCAACCCGCAAACCCTCAACCCTAAACCCTAACCCTCAACCCTCAACCTCAACCCTCAACCCCAAACCCTAAACCCTAAAACCCTCAACCCTCAACCCTCAAACCCTCAAACCCTCACCCTCAACCCTCAACCCTCAACCCTCAACCCTCAACCCTCAACCCTAAACCCTCAACCCTCAACCCTCAACCCTCAACCTCAACCCTAAACCCTAAACCCTCAACCCTCAACCCTCAACCCTCAACCCTCAACCCAACCCTAAACCCTAAACCCTCAAACCCTCACCCTAACCCTCAACCCTCAACCCTCAACCCTCAACCCTCAACCCTAAACCCTAAACCCTCAAAAACCCTCAACCCTAAACCCTCAAACCCTAAACCCTAAAACCTCACCCTCAACCCTAAACCCCAACCTCAAACCTCAACCCTCAACCCTCAACCCTAAACCCTAAACCCCCAAACCTCAAACAACCTCAACCCTCAACCCTCAACCTCAAACCCTAACCCTCAACCTCAAAACCTCAACCCCCTAAACCCTCAAAACCCTCCTCAACCTCAAACCCCAACCCAAAACCCTCAACCCTCAACCCTCAACCCTCAACCCTCAACCCTCCCCCCCCCCTAAACCCTAAACCCTCAACCCTAAACCCCAACCCTCAACCCCAACCCTCAACCCTCAACCCTCAACCCTCAACCCTCAACCCTCAACCCTCAACCCTCAACCCTCAACCCTCAACCCTCAACCCTCAACCCTCAACCCTCAACCCTCAACCCTCAACCCTCAACCCCTCAACCCTCAACCCACAACCCTCAAACCCTCAACTCAAACCCTCAACCCTCAATCAACCCTCAAACCCTCAACCCCTCAAACCCTCAAACCCTCAAACCCTCAAACCCTCAAACCCTCAAACCCTCAAACCCTCAAACCCTCAACCCCTCAACCCCTCAACCCTTCAAACCTCAACCCTAAAACATAAACCCTCAACCTCAACTCAACCCTAAACACTAAACCCTAAACCTCACACTCAACAATCAACCCTAAACCTAAAACCCCTAACCCTTCAACCCTCAACCCTAAACCCTAAACCCTCAACCCTCAACCCTCAACCCTAAACCCTAAACCCTCAACCCTCAACCCTCAACCCTCAACCCTAAACCCTCAACCCTCAACCCTCAACCCTCAACCCTAAACCCTAAACCCTCAACCCTCAACCCTAAACCCTAAACCCTCAACCCTCAGAAGGGCAAGTTGCCCAGGCCTGGGGAGAGACGCCTCTCCTAGAAGGCCTGATCTTGTTGCGGGTGTTTGTAGGGTTTCGGGTTTCAGCTACGTGTTTGAGTGCTTTCTTGTTTTGGGTTTAGGTTTATAGGGTTTAGGGTTTAGGGTTTAGGGTTTAGGATTTAGGGTTTAGGGTTTAGGGTTTAGGGTTTAAGGTTTAGGGTTTCCGTATCGGCCCTTTGCTTCGTCTTAGGCCTTTTTTTTTTGGGTGTTTCTTCATGCTGAGAGCCTTGCAGCCCCAGAGCACCGGAGCCTGGAGGTCCGTTGCGCTCTCGGCGTTCCTGGCGGCCGTCCCAAGCACAGCACGAACTCATGCAGGTGCACGGACGGGGGGATGGACGGCAGGCTGCAAGCCATTTTGTTGAGAAGCGCGCACGTGCATTTCTGCGTGTCAATCCCCTTGATTGTCTGCAAGGCTTCCCGGTGGTCGCCCATTGTGGCTCAGGCTTTGCTTTGCGTGCGGTGACCTGTTCCGTTCCAAATGCCGTCTTCGCGCAGGCATCGCCGCTGCATTCTGGGAACTTTAGTGGTGGTGGTGGCGGTTTCTGGGTTTTGCAATGACACGCGTGGGTATGCTATGAATTCCGGTCAGCATGAGGCGACAGAGATGGCAATGTCGATCCCGCATCCGGATGACGTCACTGCCCTGGTGGAGAAAGTTGAAAGACGAGCGCGCTCTCTTTGGCATGGCCAGCATTGCCAGCACGCCAAGTGGAGTGATCCTTTGGCTTTGGCTGGCTTTGCTGCATTCATAACTATAAGCACTGCAGTTGCTGCGATCTTCAACGAAGCAAGGGGCTGCCGGGCAAACGCAAGTTGGGGAAGACCAAGGAGGGCGATGAGGCCAATGAGGCGTGCTACATCAGGGGAACTTGCAGTGACGCTTGCCGCACTTAATCCTGATCTTCCTGGGCTCTAATCACTGGTAGATCTCGCTCAGCTCACAGTTAGGCGTCAAAGCAGACTACCATGGTGCCAGAACGTGTGCTTGCATCAAAGCATGTGAGCTCGGTGGGGCTTGCGGCAGAAGTATTTGTGAAGGAAAAAGACATCGGACCTAGGCTCCAGAAACCCTGTAAGCCGTACAAGCCCTGTGCAACCCACCTCCCAAACCCTCAACCCTAAACCCCGAAGCCCTTATTCCCTAATCTCTCAAACCCTAGACCCTAGACCCTAGACCCTAAACCCTACACCCTGCACTCTACACCCTAAACCCTAAACCCTATCAACGAAAGATACCACCCTCCCAAAGACACACACCCGCAGGCCTTGAAGTTTCAGCTCAAAGGCCGTGGACTCGGCTCTTGTACCACGGGCACCGTCGGCCGTGAGGGGTCACACCTAGAGGGGATCTAGGGGGGATTTAGGGGGGCTCAATAATGAGCCCTGTATTCCCCTTAACAAGGAAGAATGTTTTTTTTTGTTGTTTTTTGTTGTTTCGGGGTAGGGGGGAATTAGGGGGTGACCTCGCTAGAGGAGGGTTTGGGCTTTAGGGTTGCGCTTTGGGGTGTTTGCCGTTCCTGGCTCTTCGGTGATTTCGTTAGGGTCCCCCTTCGATTCTCCAAGGCTAACACATGTTTTCTGAATCGGTGAGCGCAGGAGAAGCAGCCTAACTGAGATTCGAGGTTGCCTCCAACCCTTAGCCCCCTTAGCACTCCCCTAGAAAAGCTAGTCCTTGCAGGCCGTGAAGCCGACTCGGACGTCTTGGAAGCGTAGAAAAGCGCGCAGAAAGAGAGCGGGTTTTCACAGGGGTCTGACATCTAGTGTCTTGGGGTCAAACGGGCTGTCGACTTAGAGTTATTATTGCACCATGCAGCAGCATACTACAGTGCGGAGCTTTATGCTTCTTGCATTGAGATTGGGTGTTCGCTCTTCCCACGCCAACCCCGCAATCCTTTGAACGGCAAATGCTGCTACAATGTTTGGGGAAAGCAGCGCTGCTGTGTTCATATTTGTACTCTTGCCTCTTGCTGCACTTGGCCAGTGCGCATGTTCTCTGGGATACTCCCCGATGCTGGACAATTTGGCGTCTTTCATGTCATTAACAGGTTGCACACGTTTGCCTGACAAACTGCAGTCGCGCTACATTGGACGTGGTGCGCCAATATTGCGTTGCCTCGCAGCCCGTGGCCTGAAACAGAATGCCAGTCACAAACTGCAGAAGCAAGAGCACATCAACAACAGGCACGGATCCCACAACTTGCCGGGGCATACATGCAACTTAGCAGAAACCATCCATTACCGCAACACATTTAGAAAACCGCCAGTAGCCCAGCTATGGCGAAGTTAGATGCATGTTGGAGTCAATTGTGTCCTAGTCTTCGGTCATGGTCTTGTCAATGTTCGCCTGCATCCTTCCTCCCCTTTCGCAGGGCCTGATGGCACCCGGTGGTGCAGTGCCTGCAGCTGGGTAGCAATGGACCGATCTCCTAACATGTGTATGCATGCTCGTGGACTTGCCAGGTGGCATTGCATATGTGGACTCCTGCTGACGTGGCTTCGCTCCGGCCTCAGGACAGCTAGCTGTGCCGCAGTATGTTCGCCAAAGGATGATGTTTGCGCGGGGGAGCGGGGAGCACATGGCTTGTTCGCGGCGACCAGGTCAGCCCTTGTTCAAACTGGGGAGGTGCGCGCATGCATGTTGCAGATCGTTGTTTCTATTCTGTGGTCTTGAGCAGCGTGTGTGTTGGCAGGCCTCTTCCGGTGAAGCCAGCGAGGCGCACAACAGTACAGCTTAAGCTTCACCGGTCTTCTGGATCCTGTATACTGTTTTCTGAGGGTTTAGATGTGAGGCGATTGCCAGGATTGAGTCAGCCATTTGGTCTGTGGTCTGCCCTGATGAGTCTTTGCGCTTGCCCCCCATGCTGAAATCCTCTGGCAGCACCAGAAATTGCACAAACACCGATGCTCAGCCGCTAGCCTTGATGTTTACAGCAACCCCCCCCTTCTCGAGCCGAGAAGGGGGGGTTGCCCCTTGTTGAAAAAATGACCCCAAAGCAAACCCCCCTTCTCGTGCCGAGAAGTTTGCCCTCAAACCCTAAACCCTAAACCCTAAACCCTAAACCCTAAACCCTAAACCCTAAACCCTAAAGTTTTTCGCTCTGGGCTGCTTCAGGCTTTTATGGCGATCTGTCCTTGTTGGTTTTGAAAGGCTTAGGGCTTTCATCCCCCCCAAGTCTGCTAGTGGACTGTTTTCGAGTTCGGGTTTTTTTTGCTGCATGTTGGAGAAGTCTTTGTTTCCTGGTCGCTACCGGGCCTTTGCAAAATGTCGCCCCATTGTTTTAACTACTTCAGTTCTACACGGTTGAGTGTGAAAATCATTCAGTGAAGAAGGATTCAAGGTTTCCTTGTTTCAAAGGTGCTTTGTTTCCCTTGGGTACATAGGAGCTTTTGCTCTAGGTACGATCGGGCGAGGCAAGCAATGTCGCGCAGCTGTAGTACGGCAGGCCAGGGGGAGCCTCCGCGGTCACCAGAACCTGTCAGCCCCCTTGGCTCCATTTGGGGGTTTACGACAATATAGGGGACCCCTAAAATAGACCCCCCAAAATAGGATCCCCTTCTGAGAAGGACCACAAGAAGATACCCCCAATTTCGGTTATGGGTCCAGGAACGTAAGCCCTAACCCTAAACTCCAACATCCTACCGCTCCTACCGCATCCCGGTCATTCTAAACTCATCTGGCCATGCGCGGACTGGAAGTAAACTGGGTCTGGTTTGGGGCAATCAGGGTATCATGGCTTGAGGTTCGGCCTCGGATGTTTTCTTGTACGTAATGAGTCAAAGAGCGAACGGAAGCATCCCCTGCGGTGCTCCTATGGGTTTCGATTGTCGGGCTGGGCTGGAGCCATGTTTACCCACCGAGGTTCAGTAAGAAGCTCACACCGCAACCGTCAACACTCGAAGGGACCGTCGTCCAGGCCATTTCTGCCATCGAGCTTTCGAGCCCAGCTCTGCCTCCATCTTGCAGATGCCCAATGTGTGTTTCTGGTGGAGACTTTCGGAAGCTGTCCAACAATCCCTCTTTCTCTTTAAGCACAGGATCCTTGTGAAGCTCCAGAAGGAAGACTTCGGGGAAGGCTTGCGAGTTCCATAGAACTTACCCTGAAACCCTGAAACCACAAACCTTGAACTTGGTACAGGTGCGGCGTCAGCTGGCGCCCACCACGGTCCTCCAGAGACTTCTCTGGCACATTTGACATGCTGGGCCCTCGGAAAAGGTTTTGAGGGTTTTGGAGAATTTGGGCTAACTGAGCCCCAAACCCTAAAGCCTGAACCCTGAACCCTACTTGGCTTAAACTCAAGCCCCTAGGACTGGACCCTCCTGAAAAAGCTGGGCCGTCGGCTTTTGGGTGCTTCAGGGATTGAAGAGTTCATGGTTTATGGGGCTTGATAGGTTCTTGATGCTTGGAGGTTTGCTGAGCAGTTGCAGAAACGAGAGATGCTAGAGTCGTTTTCAGGCATTTTAGGTGAAGAGCTTTTAGCGCTTGAGGTTAGGATCCTCACGAGCCTTGTTGCGGTTTAGGCTGTGAAGGCCTCCAATTTGCCGCTTCCTTGCGAACGAGGGCTTCGCTGCCCAAGTTCTCCGTAGCTTGCAGGGCCTTGTAACAGGAGATCTAAACCTAAATTTAACGCAGCCCCCTTGTCAAACCCGCAAGATGCGATAGGTTTTCGTCCCTTCTAACGGTACCGAACAAAAGGAACCGAATCCGAACAGGACCCAAATAGGGTCAATAATTTCGAGCAGTTCGCCAATTAAGGAATTGGCCAGCATCTCCGTGACCTTAGCCTGAGGTGGATTTGGCTCAACACAACCCCTGTTTGAACTACCCTCCACGCAACCCGCGGATTTCAATTTCTAATTGGGATCTGGGGTTTTCGTGACTTTCGAGTTAGTCCGTTGGGCGTTCGTTCTTTTTCGGATCTTGTGTGCACAAAGCGGAGAAGCTGGGCTAAAGCAACAGCATGCGCCCCATTCGTGTAGACGTAGTGGCGAAGCATCGATGTATTCGAAGCCGAGGTCAGCGAAAAACAAATGGCCTGCAAGGCTGGATTGACTCGACCTGCAGGAGCATGATACGCGCTGTTTTTGTTCCGGAATCTGCTGTCCAGGGTTGCCATTGTGAGAACAACCGAAGCGGTTCGCATGAAAAGCATCAAGCAGAACCCGAAACTTTAGGGCTCAGGGTTCAGGATTGGGGTTTAGGGCACCATGCGTGGTTGGCCGAAGAAAGCATGTGAAATTGCACTAGATGCTTAGTTGCAGCCTCTCTCCAACCCTAGTCGCCTAAACCCTACCCCCGATTGGCAGCCCAGTCTCGAAAGGAAATCCTTCGCACAAACATGGTCTCAACCTGCCACCCCGCTAGTTGGCAAAGCAGTTGGAAGAAGACCTTGAAAGGTGCGTAGCAGGCACGCAGATTATATAATTGAGAGGGTGTCGAGGATCCTTAGCATGCTGATGATCCTCGTGTCATTGTGCGTCCTTGCTGGGGCTCCAATCCAAATGCCGGAAAGCGCGAGGATGCTTCTTGTTTGGTCCCCCCTCAACGCTACAGTCAGGCCACGAGTTTCAGAGCAGTCATGTATGCGCGATCCTGACTGCCTGACATCCTGACACAGCTGGATCCTGACTGCCTGACATCCTGACACAGCTGCAGGACCCTGAGAGATCTGAGGGCCCAAAAATTCGGGGCACGGACTCTGCCAATCTGATGTTCTGCGGCTCAGGGAGAGCTCCAGCAAAACCTTCAGGGCTCAGGGCGGTCTAGGGTTTAGGGTTTTGCTCTGAACTTGCTGGGGCTTAGAATCTTGGAGCCAGACCCACAACGGCAGGCGTGTCAGCGCTCCGGCATGCTATTTGCGTTGAAAGCTGGGGGGCCATAGGCCATAGTCATGAAGGGCAGCCGGTGGGAGGAGTCT